CAAACCAGGAAATATTGTTTCCTAGCCATGTTTCCCAAAGGTGGACAAACCAGGAAATATTGTCGGTTTCTAGCCATGTTTCCCAAAGGTAGGCAAACCAGGAAATATTGTTTCCTAGCCATGTTTCCCAAAGGTGGACAAACCAGGAAATATTGTCGGTTTCTAGCCATGTTTCCCAAAGGTAGGCAAACCAGGAAATATTGTTTCCTAGCCATGTTTCCCAAAGGTGGACAAACCAGGAAATATTGTCGGTTTCTAGCCATGTTTCCCAAAGGTAGGCAAACCAGGAAATATTGTTTCCTAGCCATGTTTCCCAAAGGTGGACAAACCAGGAAATATTGTCGGTTTCTAGCCATGTTTCCCAAAGGTAGGCAAACCAGGAAATATTGTTTCCTAGCCATGTTTCCCAAAGGTGGACAAACCAGGAAATATTGTCGGTTTCTAGCCATGTTTCCCAAAGGTAGGCAAACCAGGAAATATTGTTTCCTAGCCATGTTTCCCAAAGGTGGACAAACCAGGAAATATTGTCGGTTTCTAGCCATGTTTCCCAAAGGTAGGCAAACCAGGAAATATTGTTTCCTAGCCATGTTTCCCAAAGGTGGACAAACCAGGAAATATTGTCGGTTTCTAGCCATGTTTCCCAAAGGTAGGCAAACCAGGAAATATTGTTTCCTAGCCATGTTTCCCAAAGGTGGACAAACCAGGAAATATTGTCGGTTTCTAGCCATGTTTCCCAAAGGTAGGCAAACCAGGAAATATTGTTTCCTAGCCATGTTTCCCAAAGGTGAACAAACCAGGAAATATTGTCGGTTTCTAGCCATGTTTCCCTTAGGTGGGTAAACAAGGAAATTGTTTCCTAGCCACGCCGTTTTCAGAAGGTGGACAAACCAGGAAACATTGTTTCCCAGCCTTGTTTCCTTTAGTGATGTTTCTCAACGGTGGACGAACCAGGATGCATTTTCCCTAGCCATGTTTCCCAAAGGTAGACAAACCAGGATGCATTTTCTTGGCCATTTTTCCCAAAGGTGCGCAATGTTTCTTACATTGTCAGTCCTAGCCATGTTTCCCGAGTGTTTCCCGAAGGTGGACAAACCAAGAAAGATCGTCAGTTCCTAGCCATGTTTCCCGAAATTTAACGTGAAATTTAAAAGGAATACATGCAACACTATGAAATCCAGACAAGTACACTTTGTAGCACACATAATTGCCAGATATACGGTCAAATTATTAGAATTACACACTTTTGAGAAACATTTGAAAACGCTATATCCAATCGCTCTGTCGCGAACTCGCACCAAACAAGCGAATACAATTATAAGATCTATACTTACCCTTCACAACAGTATCGAATGAAGTAGTTCTGATATGGCTGGATCGATACGGTTCGTGTGCAATGAATGTCTTAAAACATTGCAGAAAGAAAAAGAGACGCATAAAATTTCGCACGTCCATTTTTCATAAGACCTTCACAGTTCTGTGTCGTTTTTGAGATGCCGTGATTTGGTTTACATCTAGCTGCTACGCGTCTTGAGAGCAGGTGACATTTTTGTGGGTTTGGGGGTTTTTATACACATTTTTTATATCTATCTAATAGAAACAACTAAACAAGTGAATTGCACCTAGTTTAAGTTGCCTTAATGAAATACTTAGACTGAATTCGGATCGCTTATTTAACGAATGAGACTATCAGTTAATTTCTGTCCCTCTTAATTTCATTGGCAATTAATTGCATGAAAAACACACGTATGACTAATAAACAAGAAAAGGTTTCTTTCTAGCGGAAATATCATATTACCTGATGCACCTGTTAAAAGCCCATTAATTAGCATTGCCACCCACATGAATCGCGAAAGTTCAGGGTCAGTTGTAGATGGAATTGAAAGTCTTGAAAAGTATTCTGAAAAAGTTTGGTTAAAAAACTAATTAAATAACTAACGACGTTAAAACTAAACTGTAACAAACCTGTAGCGGACTTGTAGCAATGCTGTTCCAACAACTTGTCAACAGGATGTGTTAAACTGCTTGTTCCCAGTTTGTTGACAAATTGTCAATGGCCTGTTAGCCTTGTTGACAACATGCTACGTGGTTGTTGAGCTCGACGGACTTGTTACAACAACTTGTTATCGTCCTGCAATTCAACAACTGGGAACAAGCAGTACGATCACAACTTTTGTCGACAGCTTGTGAACAGATTTGTAACAACTTGTTTGCAGACCTGTAACAACTTGTGCGTTTTTACGTGTGTACAAGTTGTTACAGATATATAAACAAATTGTGACAAGGTTGCTGTCAAGTCTGGAACAAGTTGTTATCAATCTTTTACAAGGTTGATGACGGTAGCAGACTTGCTACAAGTTGTTCGAACAAGACTAATACACGCTGTTCGTAACAAGTTGCTACGAGCTTGTTGTCCGGCATCAACTTGTCAACAACTTGTTACATGCAGATGACATCAGACTTGTTTGCACAACTTGTTGCGAGGCTGTTGGCCTCATCAACCTTGTTACAAGATGATAACAACTTGTTCCAGACTTGTCAACAACTGGGAACAAACTAGTAAAAGTTCTTGCGCGGAACTTCAAATTCGTATGTACGCAAATGAGCCTATTTTTAATTTCCTTTGCCCGACTTGAATCCACGCGTGTTTCCACGCGCGTGATCGTGTATCACGTGACGTGCTCGCGTTCTTCTCCAAGCTTGCCCGTGTTTTATGGCGGACCAAAGCATGTGGTTTCAAATTTGAATTTTTACGATTTTTAGCCGAGGATTCTTGCGATTGATGATAATTTCGGCTTGAAATAATCGTAGGACATTGTTCTTCGAATCGTGGGAAGGAAATCGGTGCAACTTACACTTGACTAAACCGTTTTTTATCGCGAAATATGGCGGCGAGACGGTCTTCTAAAAGTAGTTTGTTCGAATACTGTCAGAAACGAAAAATTGGTCCGCCATTCTTTGAAAACTGGGCAGCTCCGAATGGCTATCAGGCCAAAGTAATTATAGATGGCTATCCTTATCCGACTAGCGCTGTCTGTTCAAAAAAAAAGGATGCTGAGCATGATGCAGCCAAGGCATGTCTGGCCAGTTTGGGAATTTTTGAGGATGACAGTGGAGGACCCAATGAATTCAACAACCAAGGTTACCCCGGCGACCAAGGTTGCCCAGGCGGCCAAGATTACCTGGATGGCCAAGGTTACCCGGGGGCTAACCGTAACGGTCGTTCGAGTTTTGGAACACCAACCGGTCCAAGCCCTCGTGCAAGTTTTTCGACGCCAAGTCCGAGGCCGTTTGACCGTCCTCCAAGAAGCGGGGGCTCATCAGGAGGAGGGGTAAAGATGCCGAAAAGCGTTCTTCACGAATTCTGCCAATCACAGAAGATGTCGTTACCACAGTATGAAACGGAGGCGAGTTACGACGGTAGCGCGTTGCTGGGGTTCCATTGTGTTTTGGTTGTAACAGATGAGTATTTTACTACCGATCGCTTGTACACCAACAAGCGTGAGGCAGAACACGCCGTCGCACGCAAGGCTCTGAACGTTTTTGGGTATTATGCAAGATCACCGTTGTATACTGGCGATACGCCGCCCATCCACCAGGCCGCGGGAACGCCGTCATTTAAAACTCCAGAAACTTCGTACAAAAATCTTTTGCAAGAACATTTGCAACAACGAAGTATAGAAACACCAGATTATGAAACGCAGTTAACAGGTATGAGCATATAACCTCAAGGTTCTGCCCAGGACAATGAGAAATGCTGGGTATTTGTAAACATGAAATATTTGTAAACATGAAAATTATCATTGCCATTTTGCAATTTCTAATTATAATTTTCATGTTTACAAATATTTCTGGCGTGTTTTTGTGCTGGGCGGTACTATTAAGTGCTGGGCACCGCCGCCACCCACTGTAGGCGGAACCTTGTAACCTAATGATGAGTAGAATTGTCTAAAGTTAAAACTCTAGAGTAGTATATTAATGTGGGATGCATTAGGGCATGTTGCTGAACTCATTGAGTGCGCTTTTCCCTTCACAAATAAATCATCTGGCCTTGTTGCTATGCTGGTTACATTACCAGATGGCACCAGATAGTAGCCTACCAGATAAATAACCGGTTACTCACTGATGGTGGTACTTGAACAATACATCACCAACTTTTGTCATGAAATAGTCCATTGTCTGTTTAGTATGTGGCACAAGGATTGTCAGACAATATACAGTAGAGAGAAGTTTGCATCCCAAAAAACTTTTACTGTAATATAATTTCATGTGTGTGTCACATGTCTGACTAGCTGTTTGTATTTCACAATATCTTAACGCAAAACAGACTATCAGGCAGGGTCTTAGCTAGAGGGCCATGTTATCGCGGCCAAAAGTGGAAAAACACGGCTATGTAAAATGAACGTGGTTTCATTATTCATATAAAGCTGTGTACCAGGGCGTCGGAAGCAATGTGAAGCGGCGGGGGCAGCCATTTCGAAAGGGCACTTGCTTCTCAACCATAATTTTTCAGAGTGGCAATATTTGTCTCGATATTTGTTAAAACTTTCTGTATGGATACTCGATTACTTGTGGCTATTACGGGTCGGCAAACTTTGACATTAATTTTCAACAATTTTATTCGTTGCACCGTGCTGATGGTGCAAAATAAAATCAGTAAACGGATGTATATTGCTTGATTTAGCATTAATTTTAGTGCAACTGGTTAAAATTAAGCAAAGATTACTTAAGCATTGCTTTAAAATAGTTATAAATTCCAATTCCTGTGAACAGCGCACAAATTTCAAAGTGCAGTTTCAGTAAGAAGAGCAACCTGTTGCCCTTGTGCTGCCCCCGCACTGTTTGGGCAATAGGGGCAGTTGCCCTCGTGGCTCCGGCGCCGCTGGCTGTGTAGGTTAATAAAATAAGGTGGTGCTACAGTACAGAATTCTTCCAATTTACGTCGTAAGAAAGTTTGTATAATGTACTGCTGTTGTTGAAATTGGCAAAAGTGATCCGTGATGTTTTAATGTTTTGATGGATAATAACTGTATGGTGTTAAAGTGGTTTTAAATACCCTCAAGAGTTGCTGAAATAACTTAATATTCTAATGTCAGTGCGCAATATGAGTATATGCTCACCTTGTATTTGGTTGCAAAGCACAGAACAACAACAGGCATTGTCTGCATGTTGTTGGTGAGCATAACTAGAACCGTGATTTGCCTATTCAAGGTAATTGACATGTGCACACCCTGGTCATTAGAAACACGCCCAAGATATAAAATCCTAGCTAAGACCCTGCTATCAGGGTTGTGCTGGATGTCTATATTTTGCCAGATAACGGTATCCAGCACATCCTGCAAGCTAAGTTGATCTTAGTGATGTTTTGATATTTTAAATACCGGTATTGTGTTTTCAGATGGGGGATATTTCAGTAAAGTCATAATTGAAGGCAAGGTTTTCAAAGCAAAGGAATGTTGTCAAACCAAGAAACTGGCTGAGCAAAGTGCTGCCAAGGCTGGACTTGTTGGTATGGGCGTCAAAGATCCCGAATCAGTGGCTACAAGATTGTTGAGAAAGTAAGTATAAAGGGCAAAAGGCTTTCCTCTTGAAAAGTAGATATTAGGATATATATGTGTACACACAGCACTGACAGAAGAAAAATTAAAAAACCCATGAATGGTAAATTCTGTAATGGTATATTCATTTGATAGTTCCCATTTGCCAATTCAATAGCATTAATCAACACTATCTATCTATCTATCTAGGAATTCAAGAGGGCGATATAAAAGCACAGAAGATATTCCGTATAAAAAAGATTTGCGTGATCTTGAGCCAGAACAGGTGGACACTGATCAAGTACAAGGCAATACATCTTGGGTACACAGTCGGAAACAATCCGAATTTGACGTTGATGACTACGATGACGTTGATGGAGAATTTACTGACTTTCAAAAGGCTGCACCTGTCAAACTTAAGTAAGTTTGGGTGAATCCCTATTCAGGGGAGGGGGATTGTCGAAGGATTTTATGTGAAAATTGAAATTCATTGTTGGAAATTTACCTGGAGTGTAATAATTATAATAGAGCTTTTTCTGATTAATTTCCACTTTCATACTATGTTTCTGAAGAAAAGGGGTGTCTGGGGTCCTCCCCCAGAAAAAGTTTACATTTTTGAAGCTTCATTCAGGACTTGCATTTCTGGCATTTTCTGAAGCAAATTCTCAAACAAATTGGATCTGAATTTTCCAAGCAAAACACCAGTATCGCTGCACAGACATGGTTGATCATTTTGTCACAATAATTTGAATAATTTCGCCCTCATTCTTGCAGAATGCGTTCGAGAAATCTCTTACTAATCTGTTACACATGCAAATGTGGTTATTACTTAAATTAAATGTACTATAGCTAGAAACTGATATACTATACAAAATATTTGTCAGTTGAAATTGCTTTCAACTTTGTAATATTGTCGAGGTACACTGTAAATTTATAAAATGAATTACTGTATATTGAATTTATATTCAAATTTCATGTGCAATTTACTGTACAACTTTTCTCTTTTGAGACCTATAAATAATTAGTGTATGTTGACCATGTCCGACCAGAATGTTCTACCATATTGTCAGACCAAGTTCAGTTCAGAATTCTAAACTTTATTCCAAGTGGAACAGCAAGTTTCCATAATAGATGACCGTTCAGGGAAAAATCTGACATAAAATCTTTACCTAGGCGAAAACTTGATGAAAGTGGTGATGAAGACTTCTTTGGCACGCCAGAACAGCGTCCTCATAAAATGCAGCGTGTTGGGGAAGGTTCAGACAGTCGACCATCAGTAGAGAAACGCCCGAGGCGTCGAGGGGAGTTTGAGGTGGAGCAGGTTCATCTTGGTAACTTGACTGTTGGAGAATGTTGGCCAGAGAAGAGAAATATTGTGATAGTTGGTAGTGAAGAGACGTCAATACCTCTTTTTTGTCAAGCTGATATGGAGAGGTGTGCTCTTGAAGATACGTCGACAGGCGCCCTCGTGGATATCGTTCCTGGTAAAATATCATTTCATACTTATTTTACTGTCGATGCAATGGAAGTGTTGATAAAATATTGCATCAATTCATTTCCTCAAGTTGATCAATTCATACGAATTCAAATTTCTTTTTACTTCCTCTGCGTTTCCTATTGGTCAGTCGGTTCTGAAACGAAATCTAATTGGCTCATCTAAAAGTAACAGGAAGTTGATCAATTTTCTATCAAATGAATCGATCAACTTGGGGAAAGGAATTGGTGCAATATTTTATCAACACTTCCATTGCATCGACAGTAAGTGCCAATTTATATTACTTTTATGAAATATGAAGTAACCATTTTCGTTCTGAACGTGTTGCAAACAGCGGCAGATCTAGCCTCATCTGCAAGGAGGGGTGCAGGTTTTCCATGGGGTGGTGCATGAGGGAGCCTTACTACCCGCTCTCCTCTGCTGTATAACAACTTTAACATGTATACGTATTTAACCACGATATTTAACTAAAGGATTCTGAGTATTTTTTCGTGAGCTTACAAATCAATTAAATCATTTCAAGAAATCTACACGCACTAACAGTAGAAGTTCCTCTAATCGCTATTCGAAAAGCAGAAACTGCTGTATGGTCAAGCAGATCTTTTAGGGTGGTGCTGGACTTCTCTAGGGGTGGGATGGTTTGCTAGACACCACTAGGTGGGGTGCGGTTGATCCTTCCCGGATCTCGTTTTAACCGCTGCATGCAGTCTTTACTGACTGTAGAGGTATACTGTACAGATATGTTCACGACAGTTACGACTGGAATGGAGACGAGGAATTAACATGTGTGATGTTTGTATTTTCTCCAGGTCATCGGCTGATTGGTTTAGAAGGTTACTATGTAGTACGTGGAGGCCAGATAGTCTTACGAGCAAGACAATGTCAACAAGTAGTGATGCCTGAGGAGCCTGATAAAGTTCTGATCAGTTGTGGTGTCGTTGTACTTCATTGCATTCCAAGACGGGATGGAACTGAAACTAGGTAACTATGTTCTTCAAACATGTCAATGTAGAAAGGCCTGGTCAAACGAGAACAAAAGTTGCACGAGAGATGACGAGTTTAGTGAATATTATCTCGCGCGTACATACGTAAAAACGCACAAGTTGTTACAGGTCCGCAAACAAGTTGTTACAAATCAGTTCACAAGCTGTCAACAAGTTGTCTTCGCACTGCTTGTTCCCAGTTGTTGTAACAAGTTTGGAACAAGCTGTTAACAACTTTTAACAAGCTTGATGGCATTATCAGACTTGTTACAAGGTTGTTCTAACAAGTTTGATACAGTCATTATATAACAAGAATGCTACAAGGTTGACGATACAAGGTTACAACAATATTGTTATATCATGACTGTATTAGACTTGTTGGAACAACCTTGCAACAAGTCTGATAATATCAACAAGGTTGTTACAAGTTGTCAACAGCTTGTTGACAACTTGGGACAAGTAGTGTGAACACAACTTGTTGACAGACTTGCTGCAAGATGTGAGATTTTTGCGTGTGTAGTCAAAATTTGATACGAGTTTATGCGGAGAGTTGGCGACCAAATGTGAGCGAACGTTGCAACTCTCGTCAGCACTCATTCTGGTTTATCGTTTATGCATCTTCAATTTTTTGTTATTCGACAGTTGCGATGTAAACGTGCTTCTCAAACGCTACCTCTGTAGTCAAGCATTTATAAACGTTGTCCGAGGTTTGGCTCAATACTTCCGCTGTAAACAGTCCAATCGTCCCTTCATCCTCAACAAAGAGTTGTTAACCGCGCATATTCAAGACTGGATGTTAGAGGAAGTCATGGCTATATCGTCATTCTCTGAGACCGCGTTAGAAAACGTCTTTCAACACACGATGAAGTTTGATAAACGTTGGGCGAGGTATCTGCGGGACGAGGAGTTATCCAAGGAGTTGAGAGAAATTCAGGTTTGTTATTAGCATCGGAAATCAATGCGTTAAATATATGTAGGTCACTAGTAGGTCCATATATTTAACGTTAATTAGGCCAAAATTGTAAAATCTTAAGTAGGGTAGGTCGGTTTTAACTTTTTTTTTAACTTTTTTTAAAATTTTCCTAACAACCGGACGCCATTTTGTTTAGTCATTGCTTCCACATCCAAAGATAGATTTCCCTAATATTGCCTCAAATGTTTTCCTCTAAGTGGAAACACTTACAAGCATGATCCAATAAAAAAGTTTAGGGTCGGGATTTCGGCGTCCAAAAGGTAGGTAGGGTTGGGAAACCGGAAACCCATATATTTTTTTTGCCTAATAACAAAATTTAACGTTAATTAACATATATTTAACAAAATCTTTCCCAAGACCCTAATGCACTGCGAACTCCATGTTATAGGCGGCAGCTAATCAAGAATTATTTCGACGTGCAAACAGCAGTGAAGATCAAAATCAAGATAGATTCCGACCTTGGAGGTTGCCCAAAGGAAACTTTTACCATCGCGTTCTTACTACAGGTAGGGTAATAACGAAGATCCACTTGGTATAGACAATGAAAAATATTATGAAATTACGATATACAGGCGTGTTATCGATCCAGACTGTGTTTTAACCGGTATAATTGCTATGATTTTCAGGTGTGTTCATAGAAAGTCCACCAGAGGCTGCAATGCGAGAACTGAAAGAAGAGACTGGTATCAAGTTAAAACTATCTGATGTAAACTCGTCTCCGTATGTTGATGTACCTCAAACGGACAACCTAAACCCGCACAAAGGTATGTGGTTATGCCAGACAGATTCCATAAACAGAAAAACCTTAAACGTAGTAATTAACGCACAATAACCTGTCAAAATTGGATTACTTTTTTATACACCATGTAAATGTGTCCTATTTACTCCTTGTAAAAACAATAATGGTACAAATGCTGTTAATGCTTTTTGGTTTAGGTGATTTTGCTCGGTATTATCTGTGTGGGATTATTACTGAGGCTGAAAGCTTAGAAGAAGAAATTGAAGAAGAGCAAGATGAAGAAGGTATGCTGTGAAATAACCACTGCAAAGAAAATGTACTAACTATATGCTAACGCCTGTATTCTAAAAGCTCACTCGCACTCTAAGTGCATGTGGAGGTTCAATCTGAGCTTCCCTTGAGTGTCAGTGCTGTTTTTGAATAGCTGGAGGGCGAATAGTCACCAGGGTTCATACAAAGCTTGAAAAAATCCTTGAACGTCCTTGAATTTGGAAACAAAAATTCAAGGCCTTGAGTTTATAAAGAAGTGCTTGAAAGTCCTTAAATTGTTCTTGCTTTAGTGGATATTTTCTGAAATTGTTTGTTATTAAGAATTTGAACGTTTTGTAAATTGATTTTGTTCATGTCTTACAAAGGCCAGTGTGGCGTAGTGTGAAAATAGGCTAAAAGACGTACACTACTAAAATTTATTTTCTTTCGTACTGTAGAAACATCAACTGAGAATCCCGAATCATCTTCAACTGCCACGAATGTAGCTCCACTAAGCACGGATCCAACTCCTGCCAACACGGATTCAACTTACGCGGCCACGGGTTCAACTCCCGCAATCACGAATTCAACTTTCAATGCAGCATATTCGGCTAACGCTGCCGGGTATTCAGCCAGCACGGGTGCAACTTATGGCGGTACGTATTCTGCCTATGGTAGCGCGGGTTCAACTAATACTGGCACGAATTCGGCGTACGGCACGGGTTCAGGTTATGCTAACGCTGGCGCGTATTCAGCTTTCGGTAGCACGAGTACAGCTGCCACGAATACACCTTACGCGGGCACGAATACACCTTACGCTAGCACGAACACGACCGGAACGGGTTCAACTTACGCGGGCACGAATGCAGCACACGTTGGCACATATCCTATTCAACAAGCCACGAATTCAACTGTCGCGGGCACGGCTTCAACTAATACTGCCGCATATTCAACGTACACCGGCACGGCTTCAGCTTATCCTGGAACGACTACGACTTACGCGGGCACGAATTCGACTGGTACGGGTTCAGCCTACGGCAGCACGGGTTCTACTCACGCTAGCACATATTCAGCATACGCGGACGCCTACTCGGCGTATGGTAGCAAACAATCGACTCTGGCCAACACGAATCCAGGCTACGGTACCACGGGTTCAACTTATACTGGCATGGGTTCAACTTCAGCCAGTATGGGTGCCACTAACACTGGCACTGGTTCGGCTAATACACTCCCGTATTCAGCTTACACCGCTACGGGTTCAAACACTGGAATGGGCTCAACTAACACTGGTGCGTTTTCAGCAAACACTGGCACGGGTTCAAACACAACTACAGCTTCGGCTTATACTGCGCCGTATACAGCTTACACGGGTTCAAACACTGGAATCAATTCAGCTAACACTGGTGCGTATTCAGCTAACACAGACGCCAGTACAGCATATACAGCCACCGGTTCAAACAAAGCCACGGGTTCAGCTAATGTCGGTGCGTATTCCGCAAGCACTGGTTCATATTCGGCTTACGCCAACACGGGTTCAAACACAGGCACGGGTTCCGCTAACGCTGGTGCGTATTCCGCCAATACTGCCTCTGATTCAACTTATACAGCCACGGGTTCAGCTAATGCTGGTGCATATTCTGCAAGCACTGGTGCATATTCTGCTTATGCCGGCACGGGTTCAAACGCAGGCGCAGGTTTAAAGCCTACCACGGGTTCAAACACGGCCACGGGTCCAGCTTCTATTGGTGCGTATTCTGCTTACGCTGACGCGTATTCAGCTTACACGAGCACGGTGGCAAGTAACACTGCCACGAATTCCAGTCAGACCGGCACGCAGTCGACTACCGCTAGCCAAAGGCCAACACAAATAGCCACGAATTCAGGTTCTGTTGGTACGAGTTCAACTGGCACGAATGCGACGAACACCACCACGGGTTCAACTTACCATGGCGCATATTCAGCTTACACGGATTCGGTATACGCTGGCACGAATGCAACTCCCGCCAGCACGGGTTCAACAAACACTGGCACGGGTTCAACTTCAGCGAGCACGGATAAAGCTGCAGCCAGCACGGATAAAACCTCAGCCATGGACCAAACTTCATCCACACAAAAAGACACACCAGGTAAGCATCGTTTCCATTCATCGCAAGAGTCAACTCGCAAGCTTGACAGTCTATTTTACTAGACCTTTCCGGGCTTTCCGGTAATTACGTCACAACTACACTGTTTTCAACTTAGGACCACCTTAAGGTTGAGGTGAGGCTCAGCCTCGTTTTCGTGTTTAAGCTTATTTCCACATTTAATCAAAATCCAAAGTCAAAATCCAAAATCTTTTTTATGCATGTGTTTGAAGAAGGATGTTCTGTTCTGACCACAGCCCATGAGAAATAAATACGTACATTTCCCACCTCTTCCATTTGGGTTTATTCTTCTGTGCATGTATGTATAAGGCCCCGTTTACATGAGACCGGAACGAAGTCAAACCGGGACCATTTCGTTCTGGTCATAGCATTATTTGTAATAGATGATTACATGACACCGGGACGAAAATAACTCATTCCGCTTGCTGTGGATCGAGCCGACTGACTTCAGGCCGGGATGAATGTAAACACAAATACATTTTAAACCGGTCTCGGCTGTAACCTTGACATTGGAACAACACATGCTAACAAATGCCAAGGGGAATGTATTGAAAATTTTGTGATTTTCGGTACCGGTCTTATGTAAACATGTTGACAATTTCAATTCTCATTCCGGTTTGGCTTCATCCTGGTCTCTTGTAAACGGGACCTAAGTTGTCCATTTAACCTTTATGAATGAATGAATCACTAACATTCTCCAATTGTTTGTTTAGATAAAAGTGAAACTAAAGACTCGAATGTCGAAAATGAAAGAGAAGAAGAATCGACTGTCATTCGGTCACCCATTGTCGCCGGAGCGGTTCACGAGGAATGCAAGTGGTTTGACATGGAGGAAGCCAAAGAAATATCCACAGTATTTCTTGACATATACAACAGTCATGAATTTCAAAAGCTGTTAGCGAAACTCAAGGGTATCGTATCCGCTATGTGACGTAATGAAAAAGCATGTGAACGGTTCCCGCACCCCCTGAGACAAATTATACAGATGTTTCTCTTGAAGAAAGAGTTGCCACTCGTGCTAAGAGTGTTACCATATAGTCTGTCAAGTTATGATGATCTGGAAGCTCGGCAAAATTCAAAGCCACAAAATAGAAGAACTTTGTTTGATATTAGAGACCTTACGATTTAGAACGGCTACCAATACAATAAATCACTGAAAAGAATTGAATAATTACAATATATGAATAATTTAGACATTATCCTCGCTCTGTCTACAACGCCAAATCACAGATTTTCACGTCTTGATACAACGGCTGCATTTCAAGCCGCAACAAGTGCAACTTCAAATTGGGTTCAGCAGAACTCTTCCCAACCGTAAAACCCATGTCTTCGACTTCTAAGACTGTTTTAAATTCATACGATTGATAATATTACGTCGAATTATCTTTACTACCATTTATTTGAAGGAGTTTGTTTTGGCCGTCGTCGTCGCGTTGCCGTCATAAAATCGTAAGTTCTCTACTGAACATCACCGTGCACAAATCCTTTGTCTCAACTTCATTAAATATTAATCATTGTGGTTTGCACATTTCATCTCAGCTATCATGATTGGATGATTAATAAATTATACGAAAATACAATGATCTCAATGATCCTGACCGTAGACAAAAACATAACATAATGACTTCAGTTCCGTTTCCAGATCATCATATCTTGACTATGGTTTTACCTCATTTAAGATTGCGTGGATGCCTTTTGCCGACCTGGAAAACTGCTTGATATTCTGTGAGAATGAATTTGCCTTTTTCAAAGTAGATGGCAGTAATAAGATCCGGTCATTATTTTAGGTGGGGGATGTCGCCGAAGAGAAATGTTTTTCTTGGTAAAATGTTTGCCGATCCAACCATTGAAGAGTCCCAAAAACTTTTTACCCAATCATACCCCTGGCCAAAAACTTTACAAAAGGATACCAATCAGTTGTCACACATGTCCTTTACCACTTCTGTGACATGAGTTTGATTAACTGCTTGTGTAATTTTCTGCAGTCTAAAGTTTCTTGTTGTCTGCACATGTACTTTCTTTGGAGACCCCATTTGCCTCCTGACAAGTCGGAAAATGATCAAGATGGTGACTCTGATTGATTTACAAGACTGTTGCATTTTAGTCTTCAATATTTGAGTGAGTCATGCTTTGGAAATGACAATAAATTTTTATTACCCAACCCTTGAGTTGTTTTGTTTTTCATTTACCCACCCTTTTACTCGCTCAAAACTTTGTTTACCCAACCCTTTTCTCTTCGGTGCCACCCACCGCCAGAATGTTCCTTGGGGTTCATTTCCAGGTCTGGTTTTTTGCAGACGTTTTTAAAACTGTCTTCAAGGCAGATAATATAGCGTACAAACAATATAGCTTCAGCTTAGACTGAATAACATTTTAAAAGATTAACGTAAGTATATAAGCATTCTTCCAATGTTCAGTTGAAAAGTGAGGTCAGATTTAACTTTCGCTACCCGCTACCACTCACTGGCTTAGCACGTATCTAATTGGTTAATCGGATAGTTCAAAAGCGTCTGATTGGTTGAACGGATATATCAAACGCATCTGATTGGGTAATGGTCCCTTAATGATACGCGCGTAAAAATCTCACATCTTGTAAGCGAGTCTGCCAACAAGTCGTGTTCGCATTGCTTGTCCCAAGTTGTCAGCAAGTTTGGAACAAGCTGTTAACAACTTGTAACAACCATGTTGGTACTATCAGACTTGGTTGTGTCCGATACAGTCATGATATAACAATATTGTTACAACCTTGTGTCGTCAACCTTGTCACATTCTTGTTATATCATGACTGTATCAGAATTGTTAGAACAACCTTGTAACAAGTCTGATAATGCCATCAAGCTTGTTACAAGTTGTTAACAGCTTTTTCCAAACTTGTTACAACAACTGGGAACAAGCAGTGCGAACACAACTTGTCGACAGCTTGTGAACATGTTTGTAACAACTTGTTTGCAGACCTGTAACAACTTGTGTGTTTTTACGTGTGGTAGCGATAGCGATGGTGGGAATCAAATCTGAACCTCTCTCCATTAATTTCGTAAATACAGAACGAAAACAGAAGATGTTACTATGTGTTCAATTTGTTAGTAGTAACTTGTTTCGAGGTTTTTTCGGGCCAGTTGTTCGACAGTAGATTAGCTTAACCCTTGGTTAACCTAAAATTCAAAGCAAACTTCCTGACAGCTTGTTTATAAATTTGGAAATTTTTCTTCAGAAATCTTGTCTGAATCGGTAGGAGTTCACTTCTCTGAAGTTTTGAAAAAAAACAGACGTGCAGAAATACAAAAACCAAGATACTCGTATACCCCAATCTCATATACTCAAAACTCATATAGTCAAAACTCGTATACTCAGAACTCATATACTCAAAAATCAAAACTCGTATACTCAAAACTCATATACTCAAAACTCATATACTCAAAACTCATAAAACTCATATACTCAAAACTCATAAAACTCAAAACTCATAAAACTCATATACTCAAAACTCATATACTCAAAACTCATAAAACTCATATACTCAAAACTCATAAAACTCATATACTCAAAACTCATACTCAAAACTCATATACTCAAAACTCGTATACTCAAAACTCATACTCAAAACTCGTATACTCAAAACTCGTATACTCGAAACTCGTATACTCGAAACTCGTATACTCAAAACTCGTATACTCAAAACTCGTATACTCAAAACTCGTATACTCAAAACTCGTATACTCAAAATTCGTATACTCAAAACTCGTATACTCAAAACTCATAACAGTGGGTTTAAATGTTAACCGTGAACTGTCTTTGCCAGTGTAGGTAGTGGCGTAGTGCGGCTAGTGCCTATAAAATGAACAAGCTTTCGTTGGTGGGATGCAACCACCCGAAAAATACAGTATAAGGAGAATTTGGACGTTTCGAGCGAAGGCCCTTGGTGTGGAGTTACTGTTAAATTTTAACCGAGAGTTTAAACAACCGGCTTCTGACTTCTATACGTTTTTGTTAAACCGTAACTGAATAAGGTTAAAAAATGCAAAGGAGATCACAGGAATGTTACACACGCAAAAATCTCGCATCTTGTAGCAAGTCTGCAGACAAGCCGTCAACAAGTTGTGTTCGCACTGCTTGTCCCAAGTTGTCAACAAATTTGAAACAAGCTGTTAACAACTTGTAACAACCTTGTTGATATTATCAGACTTGTTGCAGGGTTGTTCCAACGAGTCCGATACAGTCGTGATATAACAATATTGTTACAATCTTGTATCGTCAACCTTGTAACATTCTTGTTATATCGTGACTGTATCAGACTTGTTAGAACAACGTTGTAACAAGTCTGATAATGCCATCAAGCTTGTTACAAGTTGTGTTAACAGGTAAAATTCAAAACGGCAAAAGCGTGGAAGTGCGTTTTGCGAAATGGTACGACCAAAATTTTGCGGTTGAATTTTTGCTTACAGTACATTTGAAAATATGGCTGTATAGCAACCTCGACATGTTTACATGAGTATTTTCTTGTGAGCTCACAAATCAATGAAATCGTTTCAAGAAATCGAGACGCGCTAACAGTAGAAGTTCCGCTAATA